AAAGCACCAATTCTTCGGCAATCAGCCTTCTTTATTGTCCAGCTCTCACTTCCATACATCTCTACTGAGAAAACCATAGCTTTAACTATACGGACCTTTGTGGTCAAGGTGATGTCTCTGCTTTTTAAGATGCTGTCTAGGTTTGCCATCGCCTTTGTCCCAAGGAGCAGGCATCTTTTAATTTCGTGACTGCTGTCACCATCTGCAGTGATCATGGAGCCCAAGAAAGTAAAATCTCTCCCTGCCTCAATTTCTTCTCCTTCTATTTGTTAGGAGGTGATGGGACCAGTGGCCATGTAGAGTGGGCTACAGATGTAATAAACGACAAGCATGTTAAAAGTGAAGTTAACTAAACAAATAAACAAAATAAAAGAGAAGACAGTCTGATTAGCAGAACACCAACTGTATAATTAATTCAATAGCATGAATATGGAAGCATCTATTTCTGAGATTTTCACATTGAAGCTTTCAAGACTATGGGTAGGAAAAGAAAAAAGTCAACTCTAAGCAAATGCATATTAATAAAGGAGACACCTACTGTGCATTTTCACAACAGCTTGAAATGTATTTGCATTTTGGGAACAAGAGGGAATTTTTTTAAAAAAATGTAGGTAAAAAAAGGCAAGGGTTTTTTGGAAGCTATTATTATAGATAAAGCCTCATTGTAGATAATTCCAGACTTCTGGAATTTTTACCATCCCATCCTCACCAGAGAAGGAGATCCCTTGCCCATATCTCACCCATTTTTAACCTTCACTAATTGCATCGCTTACATTGTTTTCCCACCAACCTCACCATCTGGTCTTACTCCATTCTCTTCTATCTGATACCTGATTCATACATGCAAATAGATTCTTTTTGTACTGTACACTTGATAACTGTCAGGTGAGTGAATGTATGAGCTGACTGTTAACAGAGTATACACATTTTTGTACGCAACTTTGCCTGATGTACACATTTTTGCAAGCAATTTCCCCCAAGATATGCATTTTTATAAATATTTCATGGAAGAACTGCACCACAAAATTCAAAAAAGTGTGCATTTCAAAGGATAGCTGTATTTCAGTTCACATACTGCAGATCAGTCAGCTTTGCATTAAAAATATGAACCGAAACTCATTTCCCCTCCATTTGCACTGGTCACTTAGCTAACTAATTTGTTTCTGGTCTTTACTTAGCTACAAATGAAGCCTTTAGAATAAAAACATTCTGTGTCTTGCTTTTTCATCTGGCTGTTCCCACTAATCCACGCAGAAAGAATATATTCATTTAAATAATAAACAACTGAGGCCAAGGGTGCTGATGAAATTAAGGGGGTGGAAAGGTTTGATTTTGCAAGAAGCACAGCAGCAGCAGCAGCAGCAGCAACAACATTTAGTTGGCTTTCTCTAAGTAGAATTTATAGGAACAAAAATCCACAAATAACGAGCCGGATGGCTGCTGGCCTTAATATGCATATTTATCAGTCTCAATTAAGCTGGCAGCTTGCCAGGTTTAAACTTAGTTCTGTCATTCATATCCCCCTGTGCAGATGAATAGGCTTTGTTCGATTCAGCCGAATCCATTTCGACATCTTTGCTCCTTAGAATGCAGGTTGAAGGGGTTTCTCATTATTAAAAACAGCAACACCGTTTTTACTCCTTTTTCATCTTAATGTCGACGACGCTATTCCACATTCTTCCCGGCTCGTAATATGTGCTAAAAATCCATTATCCAAAGAATGATGAAGAAACTGTTTCGATCAGATAGAACAGTTGAAGGTCAGGTTTAAATAGATGTACAACCTTATCCATGCTTGATTGAGTGCGGTTCTGGCCTGTATCACTGTACGACTGCTTAAATTTCAATGTTTTGCAAACTGAATAGACCCTTAGAGATAGGAGTGGGCATAAAATAAAGGATAACAAAGAAGACCCTCTATGGCCTGTTTGTATAGGGTGTCAGGGGTGTTAGAGTAGGGGTAGTACCTCTGGTGGGGGACATGTCGTACTCCTTCTGGGATAGTTTGTCCACCTTTCAACCTACCCTGCACTCAGTTCTCACCTGTGGTTCCTAGAAGCTGCCAGCATGCGATAGCAGCCACACCCTGGGAACGGCTTCAACTGGCTGACTAAACCAGGTGAAGGTAGCCAATGGGTCTCACAGATGGGTCTCAAACACTCAAACACACACACACACATTCAAAAATGTCTAAATCTGTTAATGACATAAGAAGAGCCCTCCTAGATCAGGCTAAAGGGCCATGCTATCCAATATTCTGTTCTCACAATGGCGAAATGGATATTCTTTTGGTGTCAGTGATTTGAATGGGCCTGCATTTGGGAAGGCCTGAATTTTCAGAAGGCCTGTGTTCCAGTGGTAGAGCACCTGTTTTTGCATATAGAAGGTTCCAGGTTCTATCCCTGACATCTCTATCCTTGTCATCAACTAACACTTGTGCTTAGGGATCTGGGACACAGGTGGTGCTGTGGTCTAAACCACTGAGCCTCTTGGGCTTGCTGATCAGAAAGTCGGCAGTTCAAATGTGAGTTCCTGTTGCTCTGTCCCAGCTCCTGCCAACCTCACAGTTCGAAAGCATGCCAGTGGAAGTAGATATAAATATCGGTAGGTACTGCTGTGACGGGAAGTTTCTGTGAGCTCACTGTGTTCTGCTGCACCAGAAGCGGCTTAAACATGATGGCCACATAACCCAGAAAGCTATCTGTGGACAAATGCCGGCTCCCTCTGCCTGAAAGCGAGATGAGACCACAACCCTATGGTCGCATTTGACTGGACTTAACCATCCAGGAGTCCTTTACCTTTTTACCTTAGAGATCTGCACTGGTTGCCAAATTGTTACTGGGGCAAGTTCAAGATTGTTTCTATTTAATTTTTTTTAACATAATTTTTATTAACAGGCCAATCAAATCACATTGTTTCAAATCACATTAATTCCAAATTATACAGCCAAATTTTTAAATTTTGTTGGGGGTACCCATACATCAAGCTCCGAACGAGGATCCAAACATCACTTCTATTACTGCTTTAATTAAACAGTTCTATCCAGTTCTGTCCAGATAGTCTCTTTATTACTTTCTTCATCTTCTTGTTGTTGTCCTATATTCCTTTCTTTGCGATCTCTGATAATCTTCACAAGCAGGTTGGAAGCAAACATCATCTGTGTGGGTTTTACACACTCCACAAGTCATATCTCATAGGGACAGCCACCATTCCCCTCCTCCTTCAAAAGTTTATCTTCGGTCTACCCTTTAGTTTTCCCAGGCTTGTCAGATATCTCAAAGAGGGCTCTGCCAGGATAAGATCGCATTCCAATCATCATTCACATTCCAATAATCCTGGTCCTCCTCCCACCGTCTTTCTTAGACAAGCCTGTCTTGCGAGACGCCATTTAAAACTGCGTCATAGAATTTTTCCATTCTCCGATATTTACCAATCCTCTCTTTGATCTTTAATTTCCCCCACACAGTTTTTAAATTCCTGCTTGTGATAAATAAAATACGGTGATTCTTCTTTCTTTGGGGTGGAGGGTTATTAATACTCACATAAGGCAAAGAAAAGAAAAGTTTTTTCCTCCACCCCCCTTCTTCACTCCAGACATACCAGTCTCTTAATGGCGTTTCATCACTTGATTTATTTGTCCCGCACCGCCACTCCGATCCCAGAGATCCATTAATCAGCAGTCTTATCTCCCGAACTTTGCTTGATGTATGTGCTTTAGCTTCTTTCCAATTATATATTTCCAATTATATTTTCGAGCTAAAGCGAACCAGCACACGCAGATTGGAGACAGCGTCAGGAAGAACCGACTTCACCGAGGGCTGGTGCCAAGTGACCGGCACCCCCTTCTTTCGAATCTGGGGGTGCATTATGGACACAGCTGGCAAGGCAGTCCCCCCATCTCCTTGGGGGGTCAGGAAGACTGCATACTTCCCATAGCAGCCTCTTAATTACCTCGTGTGGCTTGGACAGATGTTATTGTTGGCTATCTTCCAATGCGCCACCTGGTGGCCCCCCTCAAGATTGTTGCTATTAGTGTATATAAAGCCCTTAACAACTTGGTGCCAGTTTACCTGCAAAATCTTTTTGCCCCATGTATGCAATAAATTGATCTGTTAATGCGGCAGCACCTAAGCTTTGGAACTCCCTGCTTGGTGATGTCAGGCAGGCAGGCAAGCACCTTTACTGTACTCTTTTTGGTGCCTACTACAAACAATTTTTTTTTTTTAGAAAAGCCTATCCAGATCTATAGAACATTGATGTGTGTTTTAACCTGTTTCTAGTTTATTGCTTACATTGTTCTTTGAACATCTTAAATAACTGTTTTAACTGTCTTTACTAATAATTTTATTGTTTCATTCTCTCTGAAGCCACTTTGACAGCTTCTTTGTTTCTTTACAATCAAGCAGTGTTTAAATTTCATGAAATAAATGAAATCTCCAGAGGCGTGAGAGAGACCCCTCTCTAAACCCCTAAAACTCTCTGCTAGTCAGTGTAGACAATACTAGCTATGAGTTAGTTGGAGCATTGATCTGATTTAGTGTCCAGCACCTTCCTATGTTCCTAAGCCTTGAAGGTCACTTTATGGTTTAATGGTTTGAATTGATTCCCCCACCCCACCCCAATGCTCTTGCGGTTTGGCATTGTGTTCTCAAGGACAGCTTTCAATTGTTAGGTATTCACGCCACAGTGTTTGGCAGTCCCCATAAACCTCATTTACGAACCAGGGGCTGAGTCGGGAGTGATATATAAATATCAATATGATTCATGTCGATTTGATAAATGACAGAGGCTTGATATATCAGTGCAATTCCACATGTCCTACAGCTTTATCTTTCTCCCCTCCCATGTAGTGTTGAAATAATATCCTCCCTGGTTCCCAAGCAGTGAGGACACAAAGAATTGCCACAGGGGTTGTCTGTGTAAACAACTGTACAAAGAAGAGCCCGCACAATATGATGCAATAAGCAAGTGCGCTTGAAAAACTGAAACAACAAAGGGCCTTAAAAATAAAAAAATGAACCTTAAAAAATAGGGTGTAAGCTTTTGTGGACCTGAGCCCACTTCTTCAGAGGTGTGAAGTGTTCATCTAAGCTGGAAGCTATATATACATATGGAGTGGAGAGGGAGAGAGAGAGAGAGAGAGAGAGAGAGAGGAAAGCAGTGAGGTCAGAGGGAAAGGAAATGTACACACACACATATGCATATTGGCAAATAAAAATATGTAAAATGATTGCACTGACTATTCAAAACCATTGTTGATGTTCAAGGGTCTGGAGCAACTTCCTGTTAGGTAAGGTGACAAAATTTTGCCCGTTTTAGCTTGGAGGAGGAGGCGAATAAGAGAAAACATGATAGAAATGAGTAAAATTATGAATGTGGATGGAGAGAGGTCTCTCTCCTTTTATCATTCTATAATGTGGGGCCATAAAGCAAAGATGAATGTTGGAAGCTTTGGAGCAGATGAAAAAAAGAACTTTTCCCACAAAGAACATAGATCAACTATGGAATTGACTCTAGCAAGTGGTGGCCATCAAGGTGGAGGGCTTTACATATGGATTAGACAATAAGGCTTTCAGTTGCTATGAGTGATGATGGCTTTGTTCTGCCTCCACTGTAGGTAGCACTATGTCTCTGAATGCCAGTTTCTGCAAATCACAAATGGAGAGAGTATGGTTGCACTCTGGTCCTGCTTGCAAGGTTGCCATAGAAATCTGGTTGACCAATGTGAAAGCAGGATGTTGGACTAGATGGTCCACTGGCCTGATCCAGCATTCTCTTCTTGTGTTCTTATGATGGTAATGCCCTGGCATTTTCATTGCCATAGGCTAACACAGCCACCCCTTATGGACCATACATGGTGACTACCAAAAGCATCTTCCTCTTTTCTCCTTTCCCTCCCATAATATTTATACATTAACCTTTCCAAAAATGCATGATGTGATTTCGTTCATTATGTCATGGCTATATTCTTTCCTGACTCAGTTTCCTTTTCCTTACTCAGTTGTATTGGTTTCTGTTTGTAGGGGCAGAGAAACCTGCAATAGAAGTAGGTGGTTCTGAGGGAGTAAGAAGTCCACAGACCTGCTCAAAGCTCTTGGTGCACCATGGCTGAATGAGATCTCTGGATTTGGACCACTCTACCCAAGTGAATGGGATGCGGGTGGCGCTGTGGGTTAAACCACAGAGCCTAGGACTTGCTGATCAGAAAGTCGCGGTTCAAATCCCCGCGACGGGGTGAGCTGCTGTTGCTCAGTCCCTGCTCCTGCCAACCTAGCAGTTCAAAAGCACATCAAAGTGCAAGTAGATAAATAGGCAGCGGGAAGGTAAATGGTGTTTCAGATGGATGATGGAGGATGAATGACACCTTATTTAGAGATGAAGAAGTGATTAAGAAGGCCCAAAAAACCTTGAGAGACTATTTTGAGATAAATATGAACACCAATGTTGAAAAAAGAGTAATCTGGGACGCAAGTAAAGCTGTTATGAGAGGGTTCTTGATACAACAGAATGCATTAAAGAAGAGAATCCAAAATGAGAAGAAGGATAAAATATTGGAGAAAATAAAGGAAAGTGAAAAGAAATTGAGAGCAAAACCAAAGTCGCAAGAGATTTTGAGAGAAATAAAGTTACATCAAGTACAATACATGAAAATGATGAATCAGGAGATAGAATGGAAAATTAAACAAATGAGACAAAAGACATTTGAGTCGGCTAATAAATGTGGGAAATTGTTGGCTTGGCAAATGAAAAAAGACAAAAATTAAATACAGTTACAAATTTAGAAGTGGAAGGAAGGAATATACAGAACCCAGCTGAGATTAGAAATTGTTTCCAGAGGTACTTTAAACAACTATATACACAAGGGCCACAGAAAGAAATTGACGTAGACCGATTTTTGAAAACAAATGGATTACAAAAATCTCTCAAGAAAATAAATTAATGTTGAACTATAAAATAACTGAACAGGAGGTAGAAGGTGCCATTCAGAATATGCAACTAGGTAAATCTCCAGGACCGGATGGACTGACTTCTAGATACTACAGATCTTTAAAAGAATGGTTAGTACAACCTTTAAAAGAAGTCTGTAACGAAATAATGGGTGGGAAAAGGGCACCAGAGTCGTGGAAAGAAGCATATATTACACTTGTACCAAAAACAGAGACTGAAAAGACGCAGCTTAAGAACTACTGCCCCATATCACTGCTCAATGTGGATTACAAAATTTTTGCAGACATCTTGGCTAAAAGACTAAAAAGAGTGTTAGTGGAAGAGATACATAAAGACCAAGCAGGCTTTCTCCCGGGTAGACATCTATCTGATAATGTGAGAAACATAATCAATATTTTAGAAAAATTACAAGAGAATATAAATACTAAGGCAGTTTTGATATTTGTGGACGCGGAGAAAGCTTTTGACAACATTTCTTGGAGTTTCATGAAGAAGAACTTATAGGGTATGGAGGTTTTGAAAACAGTATAAGTGAAATATATTCAGAACAAAAGGCTAAATTAATTGTAAATAATGTGTTGACGGAGGAATTCAAGATAGAAAAAGGGACACGACAAGGTTGCCCAATCTCCCCATTGCTTTTTATATCGGTCCTGGAGGTCCTGCTGAATATGATCAGAAGGGACCAATTGGTTAAAGGTATACAAGTCGGAGCAAAACAGTACAAATTGAGAGCATTTGCAGATGACTTAGTATTGACATTGCAGGAGCCAGAATCTAGTACTAAAAGGGTTTTGGAACTGATTCAAGAATTTGGTCAGGTAGCAGGATTTAAACTGAATAAGTTAAAAACAAAGGTCTTAGAGAAAAATTTAACTGTGATTGAGAGAGAGAGGTTTCAGAATGAGACAGGTTTAACAGTGGTTAAGAAAGTGAAATACCTGGGGATTAACATGACAGCTAAAAATGGGAATTTATTTAAAGACAACTATGAAAAATGTTGGGCTGAAGTGAAAAAAGATTTAGAAATTTGGTCAAATTTGAAGCTTTCACTGCTAGGCCGTATTGCTGTGATAAAAATGAATGTATTGCCTAGAATGTTGTTTTTGTTTCAAACATTGCAAATTTTGGACAAAATGGATTGCTTCAAGAAGTGGCAGAGAGATATCTCTAGATTTGTCTGGCAGGGCAAGAAGCCCAGAATAAAATTTAAAATACTAACGGATGCAAAGGAAAGAGGTGGATTTGCCTTGCCAGACCTTAAACTTTATTATGAATCAGCAGCTTTTTGCTGGCTGAAAGAATGGCTGCTTCTTGAAAACACAGACATTTTGGACTTAGAAGGTTTCAATAATGTATTTGGATGGCATGCATATTTGTGGTATGATAAGGTCAAAGCACATAAAGCATTTAAGAATCATATTGTCAGGAAAGCATTGTTTAATGTCTGGATAAGATATAAGGATTTATTGGAAAATAAAACCCCAAGGTGGTTGTCACCGATGGAAGCAAAAGCACAGAAAAAGCTCAACATGGAGGCCAAATGGCCGAAATATTGGGAAATTCTGGAACAAGAGGGAGATAGATTGAAATTGCAGAGTTTTGAAAAACTAAAAAACAAAGTGCGAGATTGGCTTCATTATTATCAGATAATGGAGGCATATAATTCGGACAAGAAAATTGGCTTCCAGGTGGAAAAATCAAAATTAGAAACAGAACTGTTAGAACCCAAAACTAAGATTTTGTCAAAGATGTATAACTTGCTGTTGAAATGGAATACTCAGGATGAAACGGTGAAATCTGCCATGATTAAATGGGCACAAGATGTTGGACATAACATAATGATGGCTGACTGGGAACAGTTATGGACCACAGGTATGAAGTTTACGGCATGCAATGCCTTAAGAGAGAATATTATGAAAATGGTATACAGGTGGTACATGACCCCAGTCAAGCTTGCAACAATCTATCATTTGCCCGATAATAAATGTTGGAAATGTAAAGAAACTGAAGGTACATTCTTTCACCTTTGGTGGACGTGCCCAAGGATTAAGGCTTTCTGGGAGATGATCTATAATGAAATGAAAAAGGTATTTAAATATACCTTCTTGAAGAAACCAGAGGCCTTTCTCCTGGGCATAGTCGGCCAATTGGTGCCAAAGAAGGATAGAACTTTCTTTATGTATGCCACAACAGCAGCAAGAATACTTATTGCAAAGTATTGGAAGACACAAGATCTACCCACTCTGGAAGAATGGCAGATGAAGGTGATGGACTACATGGAACTGGCGGAAATGACTGGCAGAATCCGAGACCAGGGAGAAGAGTCGGTGGAAGAAGATTGGAAGAAATTTAAAGACTATTTACACAAATATTGCAAAATTAATGAATGTTAGAATGATGTCAGAATGAAGTTAAGTGGTTTTAGCAGCAATGTCTTAAAGGTGTATGTAAAAATGGATTGCTAATAAGTGAGAATCTAAAGCTATAATATATTAATTTAAAGGACTAAGACAAAAACAAAGAGGGAAAGGAATTGCTGAATTAACCAATTGAACTGGAATACAAAAAAGGGAGGTGAAAGGAGGTCAGGGAAGCAAGGAAATGAAATGTAAGATACGGAAGGATTGATTTGTTTTTAAGTGTTTTTTATTTTTGTTTTTTCTTTACTTTGTATTTTGTATGTTTTTTATTGTTTTTATTTTTTCCCTTGTTTCTTTTCTCTTTAACTATGTAATTTTTTGTTTTTGAAATTTTAATAAATATCATTTTTTATAAAAAAAGATAAATAGGTACTGCTCCAGCGGGAAGGTAAACGGCATTTCCGGCACTGCTCTGGTTCGCCAGAAGCGGCTTAGTCATGCTGGCCACATGACCCGGAAGCTGTACGCCGGCTCCCTCAGCCAATAAAGCGAGATGAGCGCCACAACCCCAGAGTCAGTCACGACTGGACCTAATGGTCAGGGGTCCCTTTATCTTTACCTTACCCAAGTGAGTAGAGGAACAAAAGGTTGCATTGTTCAGTGCTCCTATTTAGTATGTAGCCAGCCAGCCAGCCTGTTGTTGTTTAGTCGTTTAGTCATGTCCGACTCTTCGTGACCCCATGGACCAGAGCACGCCAGGCACTCCAGGCACGCCTCCTGCAATTTGGTCAGACTCATGTTTGTAGCTTCGAGAACACTGTCCAACCATCCCGTCCTCTGTCATCCCCTTCTTCTTGTGCCCTCAATCTTTCCCAGCATCAGGGTCTTTTCCAAGGAGTCTTCTCTTCTCATGAGGTGGCCAAAGTATTGGAGCCTCAGCTTCACGATCTGTCCTTCCAGTGAGGACTCAGGGCTGATTTCCTTAAGAATGGATACATTTGATCTTCTTGCAGTCCATGGGACTCTCAAGAGTCTCCTCCAGCACCATAATTCAAAAGCATCAATTCTTCGGCGGTCAGCCAGTCAGTCATGCCTTATATCAGGATACTCCATTCCTTTCCTCCTGCTTCCATTTTCTGTTCAACCCACAAGACACTCAGTATTCCATGGCCACTAAATATGCCCTCGTTGGGCTGTATATTTGGAGAGGTACAGCCCCTTGGGTTTGTTTCTCTAAATAACTATTTTTTTCTTTATCTGCAAACCTTGGAGTGCGCCACTGTTTCATCCAAAGTTATAGGACATTCACACATTGTACCAAAAAAATAGAACATTAGCAGGAATAAAATAAGTGACTAGGAAGATACTTCTGGCCATATGCTAGCATACTTTGGCTTCATTTTCAGCATTAAAAACAAGATCAATGTGATACTATAAGATCCTTCTTCCCCCTTGGGACAGTTTCCTGATTAAAATTCCTCCCCTCAGTTGCTTTTCCTGGGAGTTTTGTCTTTCTCTTCCTGTCTGATGGTCTGTGTTGTGGGTACTTTTGACAGGGAAAATGCACCAAGCAGGAAATGAAGGTTGGAACCCCCTTCCCCTCACTGCTGGTTCAGTCAGATCTGGAGCACCCTCTCCTCTGACCCCTGCCACAGCTACTTTTCTCTTCTTGTTTATTTTTGTGATGTTTTGCCTAGTATGTCTGAGCTTAGAAGGCCCCTCTGGGGTCAGAAAGAACTATGGCGGCTGAGTGAAAGCAGCTTGGAAACTTGGTGGCAAAGAGACCAATTTACAGGTCATCATCGGGGAAACAGAGACTCGGCTCATTGCCATGGCAACAACTACCGTGGCTTTTTTTTGTCACAACAAAATGGGACTAGGTTTCTGTTGGTAGGACTTTGCAGAATTCAAAGCCTGCAACTAAATTCTTGCCACAAAAAAATTCCTAGGGTTGCATTCTCTTTTGCAGTAATACCCTCTTAGCTCATACACATACAGCCTCCTTCTCTTTGGCTTTTGGCCTTCCAGCAAGGGATTTGAGTTTAAAGTAGATGCAAGGAAAGGAAATAATAAGCAACGAAATGAAAACAAATCACATGGTAGAATTCAGAAATCTAACGATAAATAGTAAAGGTAAAGGGACCCCTGACCATTAGGTCCAGTCGTGATCGAGTCTGGGGTTGCGGCGCTCATCTCGCTTTATTGGCCGAGGGAGCTGGCGTACAGCTTCTGGATCATGTGGCCAGGATGACTAAGCTGCTTCTGGTGAACCAGAGCAGCGCACGGAAACACCATTTACCTTCCCGCTGCAGCGCACGGAAACACCATTTACCTATTTATCTACTTGCACTTTGACGTGCTTTCGAACTGCTAGGTTGGCAGGAGCAGAGACCGAGCAACGGGAGCTCACCCCGTCACAGGGATTCGAACTGCCGACCTTCTGATCAGCAAGTCCTAGGCTCTGTGGTTTAACCCACAGCACCACCCGCGTCCCAACGATAAATAGTAGAAAACGGTAAATAGCAGAAAAAGATTTAATCCTTTCCAAAGTGGAACTTGAAGCAAATCCTCAGGCAAAACAGATGTAGAATTTTGAGGAAAGCCAAACAATCTTGAGTAAGACAAGCAAAAACAAAAACAAAATCTTGCTCAGTGGGGATTTTTGCACACCTCCTAGTTTAAATGAAATGTTAAGTGAAATTGTAGGACTTTGCTTAGACAAAACGTTTGCGGTATTTTGAAGGAAGCTGAAAGTTCCTTCATGGCTGACAATGTTTATGAGAGGGCTATTGGGTTGTTGTTTTTGTTTTTATTAGGTATTTTGCGGTTTTATATCTTGATTTTATTCTGTGATCCACCCTGAGATCCTCGGGTATAGGGCGGTATATAAACACAATAATAATAATATTAATAACAATATTGTCTCTGAATAAAGCTGTAAAATAGAGCAGTACTCTAAAAGCCTCTGTGACAACCATTCCCACTGAGGGCTACACCCATCACTTCTGACTTTATCTGCTGCCCAGGTGGACACAGTTATGGGGCAACTTCAAGGCCTACCAGCTCTCTTCGGATGGATCTTTATCTTTAAATCTGCCTTCAGGTAAGAGGATGCCTTCAAACAGGGGCCTGTCCTCCAACAGCCCTTCAAATAGAAGACAAGAAGAAGAGGAGGAGGAGGAGGAGGAGGAGGAGGAGTTTGGACTTGATATCCTGCCTTTCACCCCCCTTAAGGAGTTTCAAAGTGGCTAACATTCTCCTTTTTCCCGGGAAAGCAATTGCTGAACTGATAAATTGAACTGGAATACAAAAAAGGGAGGTATGAGGAGGTCCGGGAAACAAGTAAATGAAAGAGAAGTGATGAAAAGATGGAATTGTTTTTAATTGTTCTTTTTTTGTATTTTGTATTTTTCTTTTTTCTATTTTTCTTTTTCTTGGTTATGTATCCTTTTTTTGAAACCTTAATAAATATCATTTTTTAAAAAAACAACATTCTCCTTTTCCCTTCCTCCCCCACAACAAGCACTGTGAGGCAAGTGAGGCTGAGAGACTTCAGAGAAGTGTGACTAGCCGAAGGTCACCCAGCAGCTGCATGTGGAGGAGCGGGGAAGCGAACCCAGTTCACCAGATTATGAGTCCACTGCTCTTAACCACTATACCACACTGGCTCTTTAAAGATTCTGTAAGGCAGTACGCATGGCTATCCTCGATTTTTGACACACTATAATGTGAGACAGGAGAGGTTGGTCATAGAATCATGGAGTTGGAAGGGCCCCAAGGGTCATCAAATCTAACCCCCTGCAAGGCAGGAATCTCAGCTAAAGCATCCATGACAGATGGCCATGGTCCATTAGGGAGATCGTGACACTGCCCTGCAACCCTTCATCTGGCCCTAGGCGTCCCTCATCTGCCTGCATTCTTCCTTACAGCCTGTGGCAATGTGCTCTTCTTTAGCTTCAGTGCTATCCTTGTAGAACTCAGCAGATCTGAGGAAGATGGAGGCAGAACTAGAATTAATTGAATCTGCCTGTCACTGTCTCCAGCTGCTCCTGGTCTCCCCAGTCTCAATAGGCACCAGCTACCACTGTTGTGAGAAGCAGCCCTTATCCAAGAATTTACTACCTCCTTCTCTGAATTCTCTGACTGGTCCATCAAAGGTCAACATGGAATGTTAACAAGTTTAAGAGGGGTGTGTGTGTGAGGATTTTCAACTTGTTCTTCCTGGTGTGTTTCCTAGAATTCATCAAGTGCAAGTTTGTCTTTGGCTCCTTACAGACACAATAGCTATAGTTCAGTGTTCCCTTTCATCACTGAATACAATGATGCGTTCTTAAAGAAGTTGACTTCTGCCTGATCATGTGAATGAAATAATAAGTACATCAAGCGAAGGGCTGGAGCTACCGGATGCATAATAAGTGACTGCAGATGAATGCACTGCATTTGAGAAGTTAATTAACAGAGTTGTGTAAAACAAAATTAAAATGAGGATATAAATGTAGCTGAATTTAAAGTTTAATTTAAATCTAATGAAACAGTTGCGATTGTGAACCTCCCCCCATTTTTTAAAACAATGGTGCTAAACAGCCTGAGCGCAGGTTTCCCAAGGGCACAGGGACTCATGTCTCAGTCTTCACTCCTTTGAAACTCAAACACAGGCCCCCTAAATTGACAATAATCATAATCACCAGGTTTCTCACCTTCTACGTTTCAGTCAACCATCATCATAACCCAATTGGCAAGCCTGGGAGCTTCCTCATCCATGCCTCTTCCAAGCTCCATTAATGTGAGGACCCCAAATTTTGGATCCCCCCAAACTGATGCCAATGTTTGGCACTAGTTTTGTGCAAAACATTGGCACCTGTTTGGAGTCAATCAGACAAGGTTGGATTTTTTGACATTAACTTGTGAACCCGATTTGCTGTGTCAAATACACAGTTTGGAAGGCAGCACAAAATGCAGGGTTCATGGCACAAAACAGCACTAAACTAGTGCTAAAATTGGGCATCAGTTTGGGGGTCTGAAATTTTGGGGTCACATGTTAATGGAGCTCCCCTTCCACACCTCTGCATTTGCCATTTTAGGTACTTGCAGGCCTTTATCAGTTTTTTGACTGCCAAATTACATCTTTTTAGGAGCCATTTACAGGGCTAAAGTGGTGGCCACTTCCCCAGTGATGGAATCCTACCCTATTTGAACCCTGAATACTGCATGGGAGATAACTATATGTCCGGTTTTCATACATGTGTTAACCCTTGATTCTGGGATTTAGGTTCCCTACAACTATTGACACCTGAGCAGGAACACTGACTCACAGATCCACCTGCCCATTTTTTAGGCAGATGTGGGAAACCTGTGGCTCTTCAGATGTTGTTGGACTTCAGCATACATCAGCTTCAGCCAGCATGACCAGTGGCCAAGATGATGCATGTTATGGTCCAGTAACACGTTATGATGATGCACATTATGGTCCAGTAAGATCATCTGCCAAGGTCTCCATGTCTCTCACCCATCAGAGGCACAAAGATAATCTACAAGGGAGGAGACTTTCTCAGTCATGGTGCCCCAGAGGTTCCTCTGGCACCAGCAGCGGTGTCATTTACATGCCAAGAAAGAACTTTTTTTTTACTTACCATGCCTAGTTTAGTTGATTTAATTGATTTAGTTGATTTAAATCAACTAAATTAGGATTTAACTGATTTAATTGTGCAAGTTGTAGGCTGCAGTGATAGACCCACTTATCTGGGAGTGGAAGACATGTATAAGATTATATTGTGGGTCTGTTTTAATAAGTTTTCTTGCTGCGCTCTCTCTCTCTCTCTCTCTCTCTCTCTCTCTCTCTCATGTGCTTATGTTGCACACCTCCCAGAAATCTGATATTATGATGGACAGTTTTAAAATGGGTTTTTAAAAAGCAAACAAACAGTAAATACAATATAACCTATGGCATGCTATTCTTTTCTTTTCCATTATTGGCATTTCTTCTGCATCACTTCTGAGATAACTAGTACTGGTCTGAGCAGTAAAAAAGAAAGCAGGTCAGTTTTCTACATACATGGAAATAATTCCCTCCAGGCAGGCATATTCAGAAAGCTGTGAAATTTAAATCTTACTGTCATAGAAATATCCATCTAAACACTCACCTCCTTTGTGTGAAAACATCTTTGTATTTCTTTTCTTTTTTTAAATGGAACAGAATAATTCAACAATTTGTATTGCTGGTGACAGTGCAGCTTCCCTCTAGGAAGGTGAGGAGAGGTGGGAAGACAGAGCATCTTTTTAAAACAAACAATCTATTTAACACCAAAAGATTCATTCGCAGCAGAAACCACTTTAGATATGAGAGTTGAAACAATGGCTCAGATCGCAAGACTGATCGTGATTATTAATTGCAGCTTTCCTTTCCCTCATGGAGCCCGGGGCAAATGCAAAACTCTGTTGCTTGTTTCATAATGATTGGATAATACAACACAAATTCTGTACCAGTTGTGCAGGTTGTCAGTGTGTTTCCAGACCCAATTCACAGCGATGGTTTAGACCTTTAAACTATTTGGGACCACAGTTCATGGACTGCCTAAAATACAAGCTTGTCCAGATATTTAGATCTGCCTCAGAGCCTCTGTTCATACATCAACTCAGCTGATGGGTACAAAAGACTGGGTCTTTTTTGGTGGTGGCCCCCTGACTGTGGAACTCCCTCCCCACCAAGGTTCTTATAGTCTGAACATTGCCAGGGTTACAGCTACAGCCTCTTTCCTTTGGACCACTTTCTCTTAAAGGTTATTTTCTCAGAATTGGTTCTTTTAGGGTAGATGGTTCTGTTGGTTGGGTGGTGATTTATAATAATGTTTGTAAACTGGTTCACCTGGCATGGATTTTTAAACGATTGCCATAATTGTTTTATATGTGTACTGTGTTATGATTTTGTGAACTGCCCTGGGTGGGTTATGACACAAGTTACTTGACAAATAATTAACAGCACAACCTTAACCAGACGTCCTATTAATTCAATAGGGTTTTCTACTAGGAAAGTAGGGGCAGGCTCACAAACTGAGTGGGCAATTAATTACGGAACAAACCAAACCTAAAGTGGATTGAGCAAATTTAGAAAAGCAAATCTTGGGCTATCCTAACCTAGCTGAGATTTACCAAGGGCTATTCCAGCATAGCTCCATCATCCCAGCTCAGCATAACATTTTACCATTGTACTGTTGAGAGTGTAAAATAGCCCCAGTCCTGAGTGGAGTTTGGAACAGGAGTAATTTGCACTGAATTAATTTAAGACAGGCACAGGCAAACCCGGCCCTCCAGATGTTTTGAGACTACAATTCCCATCATCCTTGACCACTGGTCCTGTTAGCTAGGGATGATGGGAGTTGCAGTCCCAAAACATCTGGATGGCTGAGTTTGCCTATGCCTGATTTAAGACAACATAAGTTATGACAGCTTCTTGTACAGTGGTACCTCGGGTTAGATACTTAATTCGTTCCAGAGATCCGTTCTTAACCTGAAACTGTTCTTAACCTGAAGCACCACTTTAGCTAATGGGACCTCTGCTGCTGCCGCGCCGCCGGAACATGATTTTTGTTCTTATCCTGAAGCAAAGTTCTTAACCCGAGGTACTATTTCTGGGATAGCGGAGTCTGTAACCTGAAGCGTACGTAATCTGAAGCGTATGTAACCCGAGGTACCACTGTATTTAGGATTGCTCTGTAAACAACTAATTAATTTCAGGCTCTATCTGGAACCTAAGCTACATTTTCTTCCCAGTAGATTTCAGATTCTTTTAATACTCAATGCTAGGAGGAATCAAGGACATTTCCCCTTTGAAATGTTGTGGGTAGCAGGTAGGAAATGAAGCTATTGTTGTCTATAAAATAAAATGAGAAACATTAATATTACTTCCGGCTGTTGGGTTTTAACCTTATTGGTAATTTGGTGTTCAATATTCCTAACTTTGATTATACAATACTGACTTTTTCTTTTCTTGAGATTACAGGGCTAAAGTTGAAGCACTGCTTTCCTCTCAAACACTGCCAACAAAAGTGATTACAGACGTATTAATTATCCTTGGTTATGTAAATATTTGTGACATTGAGTTTGATATAACAAGGACGGGCATTAGAAGCCATTGAGATTCTTGCAACCTCTCTGTTAAAATGTAAATGTCTCTCATTCTGCAAAGGGGAAAATTAATTCTAGTATTAGGCAAGCTCTCCTCAGCTAGACTGGGAATCAGCTCAGTACTGGTGAGCGTTCTGGTAAGTGTTCTGGGGCAAAGAGTATTTGTGTGTTTTCCAAGATTTCTCTGCTAGGTTATAACGTTGGATGCATGCTGATGGTACACATGCATTTTACACAGGCATTCTAGAATTTCATCTACAATCACCCCACCCCCTTGTAATTTGGTTTACTGCCTTGCACTTACTGCACGCCAACAGCCACGGTGGAAAATGACTTGGAAATTTGGTTGCCTCTTGCTACACAAACACACCTAGGAATAAGAGAGGGTTCGAGTTCTGGAGTTGGAATATGACTACTGAAATGTTCTCAAGAACATTCAAGAAATGATGGATCCAAACACAGAAAATACTTACCAAACATAGAGCATCTTGGTTGGGTTGCCTGATCTCATAGTTCACAACTTTCTACAAAAGTATAATTGAGAGAAAGCAGTTAACAATACTTTTTTTGGGGGGGGGACAGATGGACTATGATTTGACTTCAAAGTAGTTGGTCTCAGGGATGCTGGACACCACATATCCATGTACATTTGATTTAAATTGCCACGTATCCTTGTACTTACCTAGGATGCTTATCTGCCCTCCCCTCAATGCTTTTCATCTTCTCCTTCTCTGTCACTTACTTTAAATTTCTTACCAGCTCAAGATCAATACTGTCAAGTCAAGGTTCCTTTGTTAGGACCTGTTTGGAAACAACAACACAGAGAAGGAAGAACTTGTCAAGCGTGAGGATGCTGCATCCAGATAATACTCTTGGAGATACCTTCCGAATTGTTCTGTTTATTGAGTCTTTCATTTTTCCCATGAATGTTCTCCTAAATGGCAAGAGCTCATAAAAAGTGTGGTGTGTATGTGTAATTTCATGCAATGCTTTCCTGTTTGCTCTGAATAAACAGTAGCAAATGTTCCTGATTTGCTGGACAGAGAGATCAATTAGTCAGCTGCATAAGACAGCTGGTACACAATGTTCCAATCATAGGAGTTTCCACATATATATATATTTAATTTAATTTCCCAATACAGCAGAGAGTGAAGTTATGGATCGGATGCGGCTATTTTGCTGTTGCAACTGGCTTGTTTGTTTTTCCAAGCCTTCGTTAGATGCTTCCTCGTAAATTGCATTGCCGTGTTACGGTATCTCATTATCCTTTATTAACAGAACACTGCTAAATAAATGTTGGGATTATGCAGCACACGCAGCATGCAGAAGGAGGCAGCATATTGGGGGGATGTGTTTATCCCAGATTTACAGCAGCAAAGTCTAAGAAATATTACATGTTCCAAAATTACTGCCAATTTTTTTCTGGCCGCTGTACTGCAATTCGAAGCCATGCCCCTGTTTAGGACATAAGTTAACAGGAAGCAGCAGCATTTAACAGACAGCCCAGCTATGAAATGGTTGATCACAAGTGGATGCCCCTGAGCCAATTTGATCCCATTAAAAGCAATGGCCACAATCCACATAGTTCGGCACAATTACTTGCCAATCGATGGTGCAGCTACTATGGCTATGGCTACTCGATGACTTGCTCCCAGCTTAAGCAGTTGGGATCCTATGCTCTGTCTCGGCAATAGTGTCAAAAGCACAATATAAGCATGCAGAAAGGGGAAAGGGGGTAAAACAGCAGCAGCACATTGGGGAATGGGTCAAAGCTCAGTAGTAGACCATCTCCCTTGCATGCAGACGGTCCCAGGTTCAATCCCCAGCATCGCCAGGTAGGATGGGGAATGTCCCTCATCTGCCATTTTGGAGAGCTGCTGTACAGAATACTGAGATAGGTGGGAAAATGTCCCAACTCGTTATAAGGAAGCTTCCAATGTACCTGTGTTATTGCCACTCGTTCAGGTTGTGGCGTTTGCCCGTTTATTTGAAAATGTCTATACAGGGGGAGAGAAAGGGTTAATAGGTAGACCAATAGAAAAGCCAGAGGCGGAGTCTACCTGTTTATAAAAGGGCTGAGCCCAAGGTTTGGTTGGTTGGTTGGTAAAAGGCAGTTGGGAAAGCAGTTGGCAGACACATGGAAATAGAGAGACAGTTAGTGCAGTTGGTTCTTGTGTGAGGGGAGATAGAAGAGTTAGAGACAGAATAGAATAAGACTAAGAGGGTAAAGGGTAACAGCGTTTTGAATGCATTTAAAGTTTATTTGTGTTTGCAATAAACTACAATCTTCATTCTTAACTTAAGAACCTGACTGAGACTAAGTGATTTACCGGGGAGGACGTGGTTGGTGGCAGTGAATTAGCAGTGTATGGGTCAATAGTCCATGAGACGAACGGGGACTCCGTACGAACGCCACACAGGTCAACACCCAACAGCTATTACTCAGAGAGGAAGGTGGATAACACCGTGTTTGACAATATTATGTGTTCTTTTGAATATTCCACACTTGCAATGCACATTCTTTCAATACACTGCCTGCATGCAGTGCACTGTACTGACTGAGCACCAATTCTGAAAAAGCTGCTCTTTTGTTCTAATAATAAGGATAATGATATCAGAAAATGACCTCCAACTGACTTTTAAGAGGTTAGCCACAGACTGGAATTCCATCAAGGATTTCAGCCCCAAAGTGTCCAAGCAGGGCATGTACCTGGCTGCCTGTAAAGGCTGTGCCCATGTGGGCGAAAAGATTGGAGCCCATGCAGGTACTGAGAGACACTGGAGGCACCTGCTTCTTTTATCTTCTCTGTATGCTAATGATGCTGTAGGTGCTAATGGATGCTTTCTTAGAACACTTTCATGCATTTCTATAGCACAAGTGCCAATCAAGGTTGATTCTTTCTTTACAGAAATAGATGAAAGTACATCCAAGCTGTAGCACCGACATGTTTAGAAGTGCCAAACAGGGATAAAATCTGCTCTGATTTTCTTTAGCCTATAGTAACTTTCACCAACTGGAGCCCTCCAGATGTTTTGTACTAAGACTTTGTGCAGTAGTTTTAGGAAGGCTGGCCTACAGAATTCATTGTCATTCACATACAAGCAAATCAGTGTTAGCACTCTTCTCTTTCTTTTTCTCTCTCTTGCATGCAGAAGATCCCCAGGTCAATTCCTTGCAATTCCCAAGTCTCAGGAAACAGGGATGATGAAACATCTCTGATTAAGATGTTGGAGTTACTTCCTGATGGCCTAGACAGCACAACTGGGGGCAACCACAGAAAACGTCCCTCCAGCCATCTCAGCTAACCTAGCACCCATCCATGGTGGGATACAGAGAAGGGCCTCTCCATCGGATCTTAGGGTGTGATATGGGAGGAGGTAGTCCTTTAGAACCAAAACCATTAAGGACTAACACTAAACCTATTGATCAAGAGATCTATGATATTTCAGAACAGCCTGAAGTACATTTTATGGAAACACACACGGCCCCTATGAAGTGGTTGGGAGGCCTGCTTAGCCTCTTATCAGAGCTGTGGAAGAAGAAGAAGAAGAAGAAGAAGAAGAAGAAGAAGAAGAAGAAGAAGAAGGGGAGGAGGAGGAGTTTGGATTTGATATCCTGCTTTATCACTACCCTAAGGAGTCTCAAAGCGGCTCATAATCTCCTTTCCCTTTCTTCCACACAACAAACACTCTGTGAGGTGAGTGGGGCTGAGAGACTTCAAAGAAGTGTGACTAGCCCAAGGTCACCCAGCAGCTGCATGTGGGGGAGCGGGGACGCGAACCCAGTTCACCAGATTATGAGTCCACCGCTCTTAACCACTACACCACACTGGCAAACAAGGAGTGCAGACTGCAACACACCCAGTGCTCCTCTGTGGCTGAGCATCATTGCAGATAAAGATCTGCAGTGGTGAGAAATCTGCCTTTCAAGGCTTCCAAGGGCATAGCTTGGTGACAGTACATTTGCATAAGATTTCCAGTTAAATCCCTGGGATCTCCAGGTAAGGCTTTTATGTCCCATGTCTGAAACCCCAGAGAGCTAGTACAGCTAATACTGAGCTAGATAGAAACATGGTATGGCCCTGTAGATGGCATCTTGCTAAGTTTCTGTGCTACCTTAACTTGATGCAGACCAGCCCCACTAGGCTGGTTGAGAAGCTCCAGGCTATCTCAGCTCCAGAGTTGAAAGACCAGGATGAAAGCTCTGCCCCTTCCCCCATAGATTGTCAAGCCAAATGGGGGTCAGTATAGTTTGTGCTTTTGCTCAAGCTCTCCGTCAACAGGTTTGTGTCTCTCTTATGACTTCATTTTATCTCATTATTATTGGCTGTAGCCATAACAACAGGGAGGAAAAATGTGGCAAGTTAAAGATAGATGCTAATTATATAAATGAAACATTTCAACAGGTGCTTTATATAGCCACCATCAAGCTTTATAATAAAAGCTTGACGTTAAAAAAAGAACTCAAAGAATTAAGAGCAGAAAGAAAATAGCCAATCACAGTGTTCCAGAATTGTGTCATGTAGTGCTACATGTTGTATAACAGTTTTCATCCTTCGGCACCAGGCTGCACAAACTTCTGCTCAAAGTTAAGATAATCATTACATTTAATAAGTTTCACATTTCTCATGCAATTCTACTTCATAGAAGGGCCACTGGCCCTTGGCTCAATGTTATGTGATAGTTGGCCTAATATGGATGGCAAGGAGGAAAGATGATGTGGGTGGGTAGGGATAGTCAGGATGTCCATTCTCTCCAGTAGCTTCAGAACAAAGACTCACTGCACCCAAGATGGAAACTTACAGATTACCGTATGCATATACTTGTAACACTTCATGTGATTTACGGTAAATACCCTGTGAATGAGCCACAAAGATATGAATGAGCCCCACTTAATGATTAACTGTTAGGCTCTCTACTCAGCTTAAATTGAAATTTCTATGCCATGCTTCACAGCAGTGCTTTTTTCTTCTCCCAGGGGGTACTCAATGGCACTCAGTACTGGCACCTCTCTCTTTTTGTTGTTAAAAAGTGTGGCACTTACTGTAACAACTTCAAAGTGAGTACCAGCACCTCTCGTTTTTGGTTAAAAAGTGTGACGCTTACTGTGACAACTTCACGGTGAGGACTGGCACCTATTTTTCTAGAAAAAAAGCACTGCTTCACAGTATACCTACAAACACATTATAGAGTTATTTTCCATTTCAATATACAATTAAACAATTATACTTAAAAAGTATTTCTTCCAAAGAAAACACAGTGGCTTCAGCAGAGATATCAGTCACAGCTCAACATTCAGTTAACAGAGACCAAAAAAGGTAACAGCGACATCTTTTATACACAAAGCCAAACTAGATGGCTTCTGAAAAGCAGACAACAGCTGGCGTTCTTTTTATGTACAGTCACAAGTGAAAAACTTCCATATCTGCTCATGTGTAGGTTTCAGGAGTCCAGACAAATGTGTTGTATAGCTCAGAAGCTATTCTTTAAGCCACACACTTGTAACTTTGACATAAACATGCAGCTCACACAATGCTGTGGGTAAAAATGGCATGCTAAGGTATAAAACTAGGGCAAGTAAACATTTTTTCTTTTGAAACTGGCATCTTTTAAAACAGAATAAATCTCCAGAGTGTTCACAGATGATTACAGAATGAAGAAATTCTCCCTCTTTCCTATTGTAAAACCACAATTCCAGTCTCCTGATTTCCTTCACACAACAGTGCTGACTCTAGGGAATCATGAGATTGAAAGGGGAAGAAATTGGCCATTGGGAGTCCTAGGAGAACTTCTGTGCTTATGGGTAAATTCTCCCCCTTAGAAAACAATTCTTGAAACACACACACACACACACAGTCCACCAAACCTCATACCATGCAAATGAGGCTGTGAAATAGAGAGGACATTTTGGCTCAGCCCACATTACCACAGAACAGGTGTAAAATGTCTGCCAGTGATTACTCACTGAAATACAGGGAACAAATGATGAGTGCATTTGTGCAAACCAGACTTCTCTTCAGGGTTAGCACAATACATTTTACGGCCAGAAGTGAAATACAAGATGGTGCCTCCATCCACCACAGATAGATAAGTCCAGCGAAACCATGTGCCAAGAACGTGGTGGGACCGGCAGTGGCTGAAGTAGGCCGGGGGGTCGCCCGGTAGGGCCCTTGGCCTGCCGGCAGACGTCGCAACCAGCGATGTAGCGAGCCACATCAGCCTTCAGCATGTCCCATCTTAGAAATTTACCCCTAGATATGTTTTTTGAATTATGGGTAAAGCCAGATGTGTTCCTGTCTATAAAATGCAGTCCATAACTAATTACCGCCTCAGATGTATGCTGAAGTTGTTCCAAGTCAACATTTACAGGATGCCTCTCCAGGGGAGCATAACATATGAACTAGTTCTTGAGCCAATTCAATCTCAATGGGTTCAATAGCCCATAAATTATCATGAATCAAAATACGCTACCTTAGCTAGGGAGTACCATTTCACAACACAGCCTCCAAGAGCTATTGTACTACATTACACCAACATTTCAGATCGGTGTGTTCAGCGCAATGCTGACATAAAGCAGCAAAGAATCTAAACTTCTTACTGAAGCAGCTGTGTCCATTAGCATTCCTGCCAATTGTTTTAGGGAAAAGATTGCTGAAATAGAAACAAAGACAGTTTGATCCGGAAAGCTTCCTCTAACAATCATCATGATGGGCATCGAAGTGTTGTGTCAATTTGAGAGGCATATAATTCAATGCAATTTTAGAAGTGAGCATACAATTCAAGAAAATCAGAAGTAACCAGGAGGAAGCTGTATTTGGAAATTTCAGTTAGAATCTGGAGAAAGGAGGAAGTGGAAAGAAACAACCAAGCATTTTTTTAAAAAAAAATTATGTATGCCAAACAATAAATAGCATAAGTCTTGCAGAATCAAACAGTGGCCAACCAGCGGTCCACGAGCAGGATTTGAATGAAATAGCCCCCTTTCACTGTTGTTCTCCAAAGACTGGTAATTCAGAGGCATGTTGTTGTTTAGTCGTGTCCGACTCTTCATGACCCCATGGACCAGAGCACGCCAGGCACTTCTTTCTTCCACTACCTCCCGCAGTTTGGTCAAACTTATGCTAGTAGCTTCGAGAACACTATCCAACCATCTCATCCTTTGTCGTCCCCTTCTCCTTGTGCCCTCCATCTTTTCCAACATCAAGGTCTTTTCCAGGGAGTCTTCTCTTCTCATGAGGTGGCCAAAGTATTGGAGCCTCAGCTTCAGGATCTGTCCTTCCAGTGAGCACTCAGGGCTGATTTCCTTCAGAATGCATAGGTTTGATCTTCTTGCAGTCCATGGGACTCTCAAGAGTCTCCTCCAGCACCATAATTCAAAAGCATCAATTCTTCGGCGATCAGCCTTCTTTTTCTGAAACAGGAAGTAGCATATA